TGCTGAAAATTTGTTAAAACAATATTTTTTTTCTTATTTATTACCTGACCCATCCAATATATAGTTTTATCGTCTAATTTATGGGATCATTGAACTTTATGTTCCTTAGTCAATTATAAATTTCTTTTCATATTTTACAACTTGCTTATTTACTTTTAAGTAACTTTTATTTGTTTTACTTAACCTTTTCCCCACTTGTTGAGGATGGTAGGTTGGTTCTCTCTTTGAATTACAATTCCAAGGACTGAATCATGGTACTCCACATACCTAAAAAAGTCTATTTAGAGTGCTATTTCTTTGTTTAGAGTCTGTTTTATGGTCCTAAGCTCCTAATACTAATAGTGAGGTATAATGTCCAAAATGTCATTATGTAAGTTGAACAATATTTTTAATGAATTGAGTAATTTCTTTCTTATAAAAGATATATTTATCGTTTAGTAGATTTCACAATATAAAAGAATATGTATTTTTCTTTCCTAGAGCAAGTCGTGTGTGGCCTATCTTTGGTATATTTTGTGTGCGCATAAAAGCTTTAACGATATATTTATCCATAATAAATCTAATTATTTTAATTTGCAAGATCCACTAATCTTGCACATATATTTATGGCATGATAGTTTTTTATTTGACATGATCAATCTTGCTCGTAATTAAAGAAAAATTCCATATTAATCATTAATTTATTGTAATTGGAACCATTGACGGATTCTGGAATCCAGGTCAGCATGGGCGGCCACTCGAGCGGCTACCCAATACAAGAAAAAAAATTCGACAAAGTCAAGATGGGAGCTGTCGTCCAATATAATGGAAAAATTTTGACAGAGCCAGCACGGGTGACCGCAGGGGCTCGCCGGGTGCTGGCTTCGCCCTGATTGGAACTCGATTACCTTAAAATTTAGTTGTTTTAATTAACATGATCCACTAATCTTGCATGTGTTTAGAGCACAAAACTATGTTTGTGGGTTGAATTTGGACTAGGTCCTAGGATAAGTTTTTTTTTTTTTTTTTTTTTTTTT